TATAGACTTGCGAAGACACCTCCGTAGAATTCCACTCGATATTGGAGAGCAACCGGAGCATCGAGGTGGTCGAGGAAACCGTTCAGGAGCTCAGCACGACCAACCGCATCATCAAAGGTGTGTGTGTATAGCCATGCTTTCGATACTTTTATTTCAATGAAAAAAAAAAAAATAAATAAATAAATAATGAAAAAATGCATGACTGTGGAGATGGAAATGATTTTCGTGGTGAAGTGCAAGTTGACAGTTTAATTTGAAAAAAAAATTACTACGTACCAGAGAAAAATACAACAGAGTCGTATTTTGTTTTTGTTCGTTAGTTCATCGATATAGTAATGATGAAAATTGCCTCCAACGTTAAAATAAAAATGCTCATTTTTCATAACTTTGAAATTATAACATTTCAAATGAGATATCACCGACATAGAGCTAGTTTTCAAAATGCAAGTTAAATGCTATGCAAATTCGATGTAGGTAATCAGATTTGGCGATGAATATTCATGGGGTTTGATAATGCGAGCCGTGAAAAGGACGCGTCTCGTATTGAAACATTAAAATTACAAAGTATAAATAAAAACTCGTTGGCTGCGATGAAGAAAAGAAAAAAAAAAAAAAATGTATAAAAAAAAGGACACTCTACCCGGTGACGACGACAAAGAAATCCATGATGTTCCAGATGTTGCGGAGATAGGAGCCGCGATGGAGGACGAAGCCGAGGGCCAAGATCTTGAGGCTGGCCTCGACGCAAAAAATGGCGAGGAAGTAGATCTCGGTCGTCTCGAGCTTCTTCGCGAGGACCGTCTTGTCCTGGCACGGCAGATGTTCCTCGAGGGCGAGCACCACGCAGTTGGCTATGATGGTCAGGAGGACGGCGTACTCGAAGGGCGGCCATTCTATTATGAATCGCGTGTGTTTCCTTATGCAATTATCCTCGGTAAGGATGAACAGGGACGTCGGCCCCTTGTTCCCATCGTCCGCCCCCCCGATCTGACCCCGGCCTGGCGCCATCTCCACGAGACCTGATACCTATTACACATACATACACACGTATTATACATGAATCAAAAAATCACAGCGTGTGTACCGTTGCGGCCCAGTAATTTTTATGTGGTGTGTACCTCCCCTCCAGCGCCCGCCCAGTCACCGAGTCCGCTGAGTCCGGTCCACCTCTGCCTTCTCCTGTACTGACTCGCGGTGTATCCAGAGTCCCTTTGTGCCGCCTCTTGCGCTGCCCACCTGCAAAACGAGCAAATACCCATTGTACACAGTTACCAAACACTCTCGGCTGCATAAACAGAGCGTGTGGGCGGGAAAAAAAAAAAAAAAAAAAAAAAACAGCTGGAAAATAAAAGGCTACTGGGCGCCCCAAGGAAATTCAATTAATCCGTCGGTGTACGTGAAAGAGGCCACTGCCTCGGGCGGAGCTTTTTCGCTCCCTCCGTGCCTCCCCCCATGGAAAATCGATGCTCGACTTATCGAGAAGGAAAGAGGAGTGAATATATATGGGCCACGTATTACAAGAGCCAGTGCGCGCGTGTACGTACACCTGCCTGCCCTGTGATGCGTGACACTGCAACTATACATACATGTAGGGAGGGAAAGAGCTGGGGGTCGTTAATGACCGGGAGGAGCGCGACCTCGGGTTCGTTAAGTGCATTAGTCGAGACTTTTCCAGCGTTAATGACCAGCCCTTCCCCCCCCCTTTCTCTCTGTCTTTTCGTGACTCGCATGTGCGTATTGACTAACTAAAACATTAAAGAGACAACACGCCTCTCTTCCCTCCCAGGCTTTAAAATTAGATTCAATATGTGTCGGTGGTTGCTGGTGAAAGAGCACCGAGTCCACAGAGTTTTTCCTTACGAGGGAAATAAAGTAAAAAAAGACATTGTTTGTACCCGATGTCGGCTCGAGTTTTACGTATATAGTCAAAAAGAGACAAATGGGTTGACTGAGGTATATAGGCTCTCGCCAATGCGTCCCTCACTATACGTATACAAAAGTCTCATACACATATGTTACACGACCGAGGAGAAGGCCCTTCTTTCTTCTCTGGCCTATATTACTTTCAGTCTAATTGCAGGGACAATTCAAAGCAATCTGCGGTGTTTTTTTTTTTTTTTTCTTTTTTTTTCATATACGCAGCGACAAACGACTCTTTCCCTCCCTCTCTCTGCCGTGTCTAGGCCTCATTAGGCCTGCAATAGTGTGATGTACGTATAGGTGCGTTACGGTTTACGTAAGCATGATATTGTACACACGTACATCGGGGCAAGTTTCTCCTCCTCTTCCTCCGGCCTACATTTTTTCGCAAACGGATAGTGTAGGTGCTCCGTTTCGCCGGTAAGATATGCGCGCTCGGCAAAATTACTGCCACTCTGCGTGATTGAGTTGTTTGGGGGCGCGGGGACTAAAAATATTAATTTTCTGGCGCGTTTTTATAGTTAACTTCGTCATTACAACCGCGCAGCGAAAAAAGAACTCCCTTTTGGCGAAGGAGAAGAAGAAAAGGGGGGGTGTCTGTAGAGCGCGTGCAATTAGTCCGCGCAAAAGTTTCATTGAAAATGAATTAAAAATCCGTGCCGGCGCTCTGTTGCTCCGACTGTAAACCTGTTTAGTCTCGAGAGCTTTTGGTTGGCGCACGCCTATAAACTTGTTGCGCGTTTTACAAATTTAATTGCTTTCTAGGATAAGTACAAGGGAACTCTCTGTCGCACAAAACTGTGGCGCGTCCGTTTTTACCGATTTTCGCAGTTTTCGAGAAGGGAGGAGGAGTGCAGGCTAAAGACATTCCGTCACGTCCGAGGGCAGGTGATTGCAGCGAATCAGGAAATGTGAAACAAATTAATATTGGATTTGCGCGGCTCTCGAGTCGTACGCTGCAAGTGGACGCCGGATATGAGCGGAAAAGAGACGCCGATATTATCGTGGGCCACTCCAGTCGTATCCAACCCTCGCACGACTTACTACTGGGGACACTGGTGTACACCCATACGTATAGTGACACATTTCACGGAGCGCAATTTGCTTAATTATTCGGCGGACCGATAACTCGATCTATACGTGCACGCTGATTCGTTTCTTATTAATGGATCGCTCCAATTAAATTTAATCACGTACATCCTTTTAATCCTCACACGTGAGCTTGTTTCCCGGAATAATTAATTACGGCTGGATAAACTACGTAACGGCTAAAGGATCGTCAAAACTTGTCGTTACTCCGAGTTTCATTACCGATCGCAACAGACGAGGTGCAGGGAAAATCAAAAACCAACGCGGCTTATACGTCGTTACTGTATACTGGTATGGGATTTCTTATTTTTCTCCCCGTCTGATTAAGATAGGATAGTGCAACAACATTGTTCGATGCGTGGCTCCTTACATTTCCATTTCTGCCACTACGCCCGTGGTATACAGGTGTATAATATACTCGTGGGAGGGTGTAATTGGTGCTCGAAGAAATAACACCCGGATGTGTTATTGATTGCCGGGCCGATGCTGTGCGCGCGCGTGGGTGTGCGAACGTAACGAGACAATGGCTGGTATCGAGAGCCCAGTTTGCTCGGTGCGTATAGTGCCGACGATCACTGTTGCCGATGGATTAATTTTGGCCCTCTATATATGGCTGCTCTGTGTATATAGATACACTCGCATGCAGTGCCTGTACATAGCGAATGTACGAGCTAACGCGCGAAAATGGGTTGACCAAGTAGATTTTAACTGCTGTAAATTACAAGCGGTTTAACTGAATTTTCCTACCTTGTTGCCAATGCGAAAAACCATTTCTGCGCAAATCAAGGTTTGGATATGCAGAGTATGGGGAAGTGATTCGTGGACTAAAATAGAGGTGCTTTCGCAGGTTATTCTATATAGCTAAGTTTCTCGATTGAAGGAACATTTTTACGACTTACCCACTTGGACTTTCTGAACCTCGAATCAAATCAGTTCGCGAATAATATACGAATGGCGCGATCAAATCACTCGTTTGTGCGTCGATTTAAGAAATCGTGAGTCTTTCTTCCCCCGGAAATGTGAATTTCATGAAATGTTTCTATATTACGTTATACAATGAAGCTGAAAACGGGATAGGACAATGGATTATAGGTATAGCGTGTAGTTGTGATAAAACTTTGGACGAATTTCGTTGCTCCCCGACTTAGTTTCATGGTAATTGTATCATACATTCAACGATTGTTCTACCCATATTCGGTGGGTGTAGTGATCCATCCGCACGGGTAAGAAACAGCAGTACTACTTTTCTTGTTGGGAAATATTTTCCTTTAAAGAAGTGGCGTCAAAGATGCCTTAAAGTTGCAAAAAAAAAAAAAAAACATCAACAAAGTCTGTGGCCTGAATGATCGTTTCATCCCACGCTGTTGGGTGCTGTTTCAGGTAACTGTACACAGCTAGAAAGCATGCGCTCGAAAAATCGCCGCCGCCCCATTATACACGTATAAAAGATGAAAAAAAAAAAAAAATAAATAAATAACCCAAGTTGGTCCGGTCGCAAAAGAGGCTAGCGTCCGCCTGAGCGAGCTCGAAGGCACACAAGTGGGGTTTCCGACACCGAGCACCCCTCCTCTCTCTCTCTCTCGGTCGTAGTGACGTCACCGGCCGGTCGGCCATTTTGGCCCGTGACGTCAAGCGCCAGCCCTCGCGTCGTCGCCTCCACCTTTACTGCACCTGTGACCTCCGGACTCCTCCGATGCACCCCTCCTCCTGCGGACGCGTACACGCGTTACTTAAACATCATGTGCCACGGCTCGTAGCGGGTGATGGATTCCGCAAGTGCACGTGTATATATACGTATGCACGCGACTAACGCACCATCACGAGCACGTAATATAATATAAGGACACTATGATACGACACGACCGACACCGATGTGCCCCATTGCGTTGCACTCGCCGAGGGTAGCTTTTCTCTTCGATTGTCGCACTCGTTGGCTATTGAGCCTCCTCATCCTCGTTAGTAGCCGTTATAAAACGCTGTGCGAGGATTGCGTCGATCCGTATATGATTAATGGGGCCGAAGGGAGGGGGCGAGTACAGACCTATACACGTATACGCAGGAAGTGGAAAAGACAGTTTTTCGAGTTGACGTCATACACAACTCGGGAACTCGTTCGTGCGTATACGAACTCGTAAGAAATTTTTTTTTTTTTTCTGTTCCCCCGCGCTCAAGTTACGCGTGTACATGGATACCGAGTTAAAATTGCCTTTTTTTTTTTTTTGATCGCTCTTTTGTATGTACAGCCATTGCCGAACCGAACGAGTTTCCAACGAGACAACCCCGTACGGAGTCGTACTCGCGCGCACCACATAATGCGAGTCTCTTCGTTAGATTCACGTGACCGAGGAGCTGCGAGTCTGGTAAGACGATGGTTGCCTCCATGTGTCAAACACACACAGCGCCCGGCTTATTATCAAACGCGACTCGCGCGGGTGATGAAACATTGACCCAGTTCGGGCATACCGGCACTTAATCGCCGTCGGCGACGTATAAACAATTACTCCAAGGTCTGTAATCGGAGCGGCCCCTCCGAGGAGTTACAATCACCGCTCGATAAAAGGTAAACACGACGTGCCGGGCTATAACAACGAAATTCGATTTTCAATTACCACAGCCGGTTGAGCCTCGCCCGATCCTTTTATCGCCCCTTGGATGTATAATTGGCAGACTACTCCCCCCCCACCATTCGTCCAACCGTCGCTGTAAAAGTTCCAGCCGAGTAGTGTAGGTCCGTGTCGAGTCAGACGCCCGGCGAGATGTACACGCGCCGGAATATCGTTACACTCGAGTGATTTTCGAGCCGCGTACGTCGGGCGCACGGCTATACGTGGCTGTCTTTGTCTGTCCTGGAAGGGTGCACCGGGCGGGTGTTGGCCGTGTGCCAGGACCGCCGTGCCCCGAGAGACGATGGCCCGGCGACTATTGTGCCGAGTCGGATTTTATTCGCTGTCTCTTGAGATCTGAGCTAGAATTTTTGCACTTGACGATCCTCGATATGACGCGTCTGTATGTATGTGTACACGTTTAGCACCTATTTTTCTGTGCGACACTTTGGACAGTTATTAAGGTAACTTTGTGTGCCACGTAGAAAGTAATGCGCGAAGTAAAAAAATTGCATCAATCGTGAAATGGATGAAATTGGTGGGGGAATTTTGAAGGGGGTTGTAACACTCGTTATATATCTCAGAGTGGGCTGATACAATAGTATAGACTATTAAAGATTCTTT